GCCGTTTGTGGTGTACAATTTTTGTTTAGTTAGACACGTTTATTCCGTAGGTATGGCAGCTCCTCTCCTTATTTATTTTCTATCTTCTGAGGATTACAACTGTTTATACTCTAAAAAAAGTCTGTTTAATGAATAATGCGATGCGCTAGAAAAACATGGGAAAAATTCATATGGTATCAAGGTGTTCTAAAAAAATAATAAAAAGGTCTTGAAAAGTTCCTCGAAAACTTTGCTCGTTCCTACGACCGTAACAGGAACAACCTTTGAAAACCATTCCAGTCCGGTTTCCGCATTGGTTATAGTATGACTACAGCACTCACCAAAATTGCTGATGACATCCGCAAGGCTATGGAAAGTCAACAACACTTTGGGTGATATTAATATCTGCCTCCTTAAAAATGATTTATGATCGCGTAGTTTTCTTTCCGTCATTGATTCCTCTAACTTACGTACCTATTCTTCCATCTAGTGCTACGCATCATTTCCCCAACTGTACTCCGTCACCTCTGGGCTTCATAGCTGTTTATTTTTAATCTACTGATTGTGATAAGAAAAGGACAAGTACAGGTATACTAAATCGTGATTGGGGATAGGTAACTAAAATTGTTGTACAACGTAATTTTGGACTCATGGACCAGGATCGATTGCGGGAAGATGCAAGTAGAGTTGAAAGGTCGATAGTGGTCGGCGTTGAGTCCGTGGACGAATAGGTTCAGTTACGCTTCTAAGTCACCTTTATGACGTAATATACACCAGTTTGGCTGTTCGTGTCAGGTGAACCAACTGATGCGAATTACAAACACATCAGAAACCGTTGCAACACTATGATCAGGGCTGCTGAGTGACTTCATATTCATAAATCCATCGAAAATGGTAATGCCACAAAAATTTGAATTTCCTCAAGTCGTATAAAATTAGTAAATATCACATAACCTAATCCCTAAAACCTAAACCAGCATTTTTCATCTACGCTGCGTTTGTCTTTGATTGTTTAGTCTAACTTTGCAATATCTTTCTTTTCTACCAACTCCTGGCTATTCCTCTTTTGTTCTTAATCAATTTACTGACTGTAATGTTAAGAAAAAAATTTTAGATGTTATCTATGATACTGTAGGTAGTGACACATATCTTCTCGATCTCCTGACACTCGTTATTACTAAAGTAAGGATTTTAGGAGGATATAATAAGGATAACGGAATAAATCTGTTTCTACTTGTGTTTTCCTTTTTTTCACGATACCATGAGACGGGACAAACAAGTCGTGGGCCCGGTGGTGAGCGACATGCCTGTCCATAACAGTTGTAATGCCACATAAAGTTTTAAATTATAAAGATCTGAGGGGCACTACCCCTGCGCCTGCCACCCTCAGACATAAGTTGATAAGTCTTATGTGCATGTAATTTCACCAGCACCCTTATCCTTCAAAACCGGAACGCAGCAAAATGCTCACATTACGGATTGGCGGCAGAAATTAGGTAAGGTGGCAGTACTATTCTGGACAAAGTCTTTCGCAGGGAGCTCTACTGCTACTACTCTAGTACTGCCTCTCTGCCTGGAAAGACGCTTATATCATCCTACTACTTAAAATCAAACCTAGTATCCTTTCAGATTTCCGTTCTATTCCATCCTGTCCTATAGAAGTCCTTGAAAAGCTTGTTTACTATCGGTTGACTAATTTCCTAACAGAAATGACCTTTTAAAACCTTTCCAGTCTGGTTTATGCATTGGTCATAGTATCACTACTGCACTTACGAAAATTATTGATGACATCCGTATGGGTATGAAAAATCAATAATTCACTACACTCACACTCTTCGACTTCAGTTTTGCCTATATATATTATTGGAAGTCCTCCAGCAGTTATTTACGCCTCCTTGTCTTAAAGAATGCTTTGCTTTCCACTCTTTTACACCAGCAGTCGCCTTCGATCGGCTAATAACTTCTCACTAAACATTCCTCTCATACCTCCAACTTTTATTCCAACTCTTTCCCCGTGTCCACGATTAGATTGTGGAATTCCTTCGCTGAATCTATTTGATTTTCTCTTTTTCTTGATTTCTTCCAACCGCGTATCAAGGATCACTTCCTTAACTCATAAGTTTTGTCTTTTTCCCGGGTTTAAAAACACCATTTCCTGAGTTTAAAAAGCACATTAAAATTTTAATTCAAAAGTCATATTACAAAATTTAAGACTATGTGACAGACTAAGCATGGAAAGACGACATGGTTGCAGGTTCCACACAAATTACATTCATCATCACTTCCTTAACTCATAAGTTTCGTCTTTTTTCCCGGTGAGCGATACAGCCAGTTACAAGATTATGATTGTTGGCTTTAAAATAGGGAAACTTGTATTTGTCTTTAAAACGGGTAAACTTGTTGTAATATAAAAAGAAAATTTGGAAACCGGATTAGGAACTTGGAAATAGTAAAAAAAACGGAACAGGTAAGATAATGAGATCGTGAGGCGCATAAGTTTCCGGAATGTATAAGAAAAAAATACTAAATGGTCAGAAATGAATTTATTGTTTCTCAAAATTTTCTTCGTTAGCGTTAATGCACTTTTTCATACGAATGAACCAATTTTGAAAACATTTATGCCACTCCTCCGTGACATTCTCTTCACTCTCAACATATTTTTCATACTCTTAGACAGCCTCTTCAGGTGATGAAAATCGTTGACCGAGTAACTGGTTCTTTATTTTTCGAAATAAATAAAAGTCACAAGGTCGGGACTGTACGCGGGATGGCTCATAAGGTCAACGTTGTTCACCTTCAAAAATTCATTTGTTTGTCTGGCAATGTGAGAACTGACATTATCGTGGTGCAAAATGATACGGCGTTTACGGTTATATTTGCGGACTTTGTCAATAACTTCCGGCAAACAAATAGTCGTGTACCGATCACTATTCACAGTACAACGATTATCCAAAGCAACAGTAGCTACGTGTCCAGGTTTATTAAAAAAAGATGCAATCATCCGCTCAGAGGAACTTTGTACGCCACTTTGTATGCCACTTTAATTGGTTTCGGCTCATCTCGAAAGACCCATACGCTCGATTGCTGCTTTGTTTTGGGATCGTAACAATAAATCCATGTTTCATCACCTGTTACTATGTCCTACACCAAATTTGACGCCCCTTCGTTGAATCTGGTAAGTCATTGCACCAAATGACGCGATTAACCGAGAGCACAGCTTTTTTACGCCCAAATGTTTGTGTAGTACTGATTGCATTTGATTCATGCCTATGCCTAAAGACGCTCGAATCTCATGGTATGTCACATGCCTGTCTGTTTTTATCACACGGCGAACAGCATCGATGTTTTTGTTGTACCTAGCAGTG